AAATTAAGTGACACCCTGTATATTGCGCACGTGCCACTTTTATAATAATTTAATGATCTTATGAATCCAATTGGTCTTAACTTAACTAAATAATTGTCACCTTTAAGAACCCATAACTATTGAACCAAAAATAAATTCACCTAATACTGAAATGCTTCACAAAGGTGGTCGCATAACCTTTTTATGTAACTACTAAGTATAACAAATTATCTGTTTATGAATAACCGCATACGGCATAAATATACCTATAGGTATATACGAAGATGCAATTACATCGGTAACACTTTTAAACAAGCGCTTACCTATACCGATCGGTGAGCAGAAAATTTCATTTTTTACAATCGATCTTTTAAATGCAAAATTATAAACGCTAAACCGCCCAACCTCTCAATTATTTATAACGGTCTGTAACGGATACGCTTATTAAATAGTTTAAATACACCCCTGCAAAATGAGCTTTTGCAACCCCCAGGGTGAACTCTTATAATAATGGAGAGGCTATATAATAGCTACTTGTGGCAATGGAGCTTGACACCAGCTTGCACGGGATACTTCTTTATGTAGGAGCTTCATCAGTTGGAACGAATTTATTATTGTTTTTATAAACTTAGTCTAGCAACATTCGGAACAAATCGATTGTTTTTTTTTGAGTAGAATTATTGCAATCGCTTCCAGTTATCCCGCAGTTTTATCGTCTGATATGACAAAATATAAATTAGATATAACTTAAAGCACCTTTATACATTTTTTCTCCTCGAGAACTGCAACTTTTATCACAGTTGTGCATCGAAATTCTTATAAAGGGTAAATTTATTCAACCAATAGGTACAGGGTGTCCCATTAATATCCTGCAACTGCATTCCGAAATAATACAGAAAATATGAACTAGGTCGTTAGGTACCTATACGTAAAATATAATTATGTTAATATAAAATCAGATTGCCTTATCAAAGGGTACAATCCTGAATATTAGTCCTATCTTTAAAAAAAGGTGTGAACATTGGCCCGTTACAATTTTGATCGGAATTTCTGATACAAAACTCTTTCCTTTGAAAGCTGTATTCAAATAGAACGTAGGTATCTATTGTTATTTTCGTAGACCTTTCTGGTCTTCCTGTTTGTCCAGTCAGTCAACCACCTTCGTCAACCCTTAGAGAGCCCTTCACGAAGTAGGTAGGGATCTTGTGCCTTTCTGCAAGTTAATCGTTTTCCTTAACGAATACAAGGAAATAAAATAATACCTATTTACTTGCACCTGAATCTGCTATTACATGGAATCCGTAAACTGCGATTCTCCAATTGGGTGGTGTAGCATGAGCAACCCCGCCTTTTATTACCGTACGCTCTACCAGGAACCGCCCCAAAGGTTAACCAATATAGATCCGTTTCAAAAACAAACCAGTTAAGCAACGGATGCGGTAGCGTACGAACGTGCGTCGTACGTTTTGCACTAAATTGAAAGAATTCTGAGAGCAATTGAGACTGTGCGTCATAGATTTAAATAGATTTCATTCGCGGGTGGTTTTGTTTGTGAATTCGAACGTGCAGTGTTTTGTGCTTACAAAATGTGTACATTAAATTCGCAATAAACAAAGAAGCTTGCTAGAGAATGTTATCGGCGGGGGTAGGATACGGAACCCCAAGTTCGGGTGCAACACCTCCTTACAGTCCTCCGCCAAGAAACAGCCCTTTGCCCAGTTTTGGATTTACACAAGAACAGGTCGCCTGCGTTTGTGAGGTAATATCATCTATGCTATTCTTAGATACATAATTTTTGGACACAATGTATGAATTCATTGGACTATGCTAAATTTGATCGGTTATTGGGGTTAATTTGGGCTATTTTCACATCTTTTCGTGCACTACACTCCGTTAGTCCGTTTTAGAGCTAGCGTGTAAATAAATAACACGTGGCCTTTGATATTACAATTTACCAGTTTTTCTACGATATCTTTTACACGTTACCACTAAATTTCATTGACTAATGTAATATCCCCCTATAATTAATCGATGTTGGGTACAGACAGAACCAAATTAAGTGTTTAAGTAGGTAATGTGCCAAAACTCCAGATTTATATGGTAAAAATAATAAGCATTAGCATGATATTTTTTTTCATAGGTATAACTTGAGAGGGTAACTAATACTTCATAAATCGATCAAGTAATACCCCCAAGGGGTCTCCCTTATATTCATATGTACAGAATAAATAATATTTGGCATAATGTTGATACCTCTTATAAAATTTCAAAATTTGTACATAATTTAATATCTATTTCCTTTTTCGTTGGTTGTGAAAAAGTCTGGCATATCATATACATTTGTATTTTAAATAGGCCTTGAGTGTAGGTGCCGGAGTTTAGTACAGGTGTTTGAATCTCAAGTTTTATACGTATTTACAGTTATTGTTAAAATTATTTTTATATTAAAAGATAGATATTTGCGAGGATATTTGACAAAGATTTTTGATAAAATATATTTTATAAAATATTTGACAGTGTAATATATTATTTCTTTTATAAAATATTAGTTTTATAAAATATATTTTAAGTAATAAACAGACGATTAGATTTGATAAAATATTTGTCAATCTTTTATAATTATAAAACATATTTTATCAAATCTTTGATAGTGTAATACCGGCCTAAGACCGGTAAGTCTGCACTTGCGTCTAAATTTTAACATGACTCCGTCAAAAGCACATGCCCCATGTACCTTCACCTTTTGTGACCTGGAAAACACGATTCCATACCTGGTGATCACATGAGATATTTGCGCAAGAATTATTTTTTAATATAGGTAGGAGCGATTACTTTTTTTTCTTGATTTCTCTAAAGTATTTTAATAAGCCTTTATTTTCACGTAAGTAATTGTAGTGGATTAGTGCACACTTTAGGAATATTGTACACAAAACCAGAAATATGACACATCCTCGGACACATCCATATCTCATATTTTTTGGAAGTATCTTAAATTATGCGTTTTTTTAAAAATCGAACATAGGGAAATTACATTGCATACAAAAGCGTATGTTCGCATTTAAAAAACTCACTGTATACGTATATGTAACATGTAAACCAACGAAAGAGTCGTTTCAAAGGAAATTCGAATTATAATTTAAAAAATCGCATTTGCCTTTTGCTAAAATTATAGTATGAATTTTGATTTCAGGCTTTCATATCATTTATTTCGAATTTACGTAAATTTAGATGAACATGTTTTCTGTTTTTATTTACAGGATGTTTTCTATAACATAGTTTAAAACGAGGTCTAAAATTATAACATTTCATATTCGTATAGCTCATTTTTAATAACTTGAACATAAGTTTATTGGGTTTATCCCTCGGGTTATCCTTTAACTTATTATTATTATTATCGTTAACTTTCGTTAGAATGCCCTTATTTTCGTCAATGGTTTTCGAAAGCCCACAACGATGAAAAATGAATGTATTGTAATTTCACTACTGATATACGGGCTGCTCCAGATGGAGTGCGATCGTATGGTTAACTTTGGTATTATTGAAGATGAGCGAACGTTTTGTTTTTTGTACTGATTAAAATTCCGTTTAGAAAATTCGATTTCGATTAAGTAATTACAAAACGACTTATTCCGGAAAAATCAGCATCCTTGCATTACTCATTAGCAAACACTGTAGGTAACAAAAAATCTTAGGTAATGAATGTCCTGTTTTTATAGTTAGCGATGAAGAGTAACCCCAAAAATTTGGTTTTTATATTGGTTAACAAATGAGCCAACTCGATTGAAATTTCAAAAACAATTAATTTTGTTGGTATTTCTTGTTTAATAATAGGCCATCTCGAAAAGAGATTTACAAACTTTCTTTAATCATAAATAATCTAATTTGGTCCTATAGTATAGTGGATAAAAGAATATTGATTTTCATTTTGAAATTATTTTTCGCTTTGTCCCTGGGTTTCATATAATTATAGAGATTTTAATTTTTAAATATGTAGATAATGTTTTTCGAAGAATTACAGTTAATGCACTCTTCTTAACCGCTGCACTGTGCATAAAACGGTAGTAGCTCCAGTCCGAAGCGAGTACATGAAATTGCACCTTTACCAGCTTCAACTGTTATTTTTGGTGACTGGTATCGTTTTCCCCGTAAGACAACCGCAGGTAGCCTGCTATGAATCAATCCTAAAATTTTTTTATTCAATGCTAAAATACAATTTTCTGCAGTTCATTTTCAAACTCGAGTAGTGGCCATGACAATAATGTTCTTACATGCCTAGTTATTACATTGTGTCCAAGATAAGAATGTCTCATGGGGATCTCGGAAACCATAGAAGATACGGTCAAATTAGAGAATATGCGCGAGTCAAGAGTTATCATGCTTTAAAGAAGACCAGAAACGCTCACAAAACCCTAATCGTACGAGAATATCTATCGGGCAAATTTTCCATTTACAGGGAATTTATATTCTCACACGATTAAGGCGGTGTATGCGGGTGCACCATCCCGTTGAAACAGTTTCCAACTTTTTTTCTGTACCGTATATCCAAGCGTATATCGTTATATTCGTAATAAAAAACATAAGCATTTCCAATGCTAAAATGCTACTCAACCCAAGTAATCGGAATTTTCTGGTTTTATTTAAAGAATGATACCATTTAATTACGCAACTTTTCCCTAATTGGACCATCGTCGTATCTCTATGTTTTCGGGCATTCCCATTATAGACATCTTTATCTTGGACACGGTGTATATTATACGTATACTTATTGTCTTGTGTTTATCAATAAAGTTATTTGTTTACAGAAGGAGCTGTAGGTATATATGAAAATGAACTGGTCTCGGAATTGGTATATCGTTAAAACCGTTGAAAATTCAATGTATACCTCAATATATTTCACCATTGTCCGTTGTATCTCTTGCGGGATTTTGGAAAATTCGGTTCCGAAAGATCACGAAAAATTCTTCTCTTGAAATTAACAATTTTTTTCGAAATTGTATTTTCTAAAAACATCAAAGTCCTCTAGTTGAATTGAATATTGGCAGACATTTATTTCTGGTTTTTTTCGTTTCCAAGTTCGCAGGAGCTTTTTCATTCCATAATTGACTTCGCCACAACTCGTTTTTGCCCTTCTAGTTAGCGTGCATTTTTCTCTCGAGTGAAGTGCATTCCTATTGTGCAACTGCAATGGTCCCGTTTATTGGTCGGAAAGATGGACGGCCCGAAAATAAAGTGTACCTACATACATAATTCTGGATTTAAGGTATCTCATAGTTTCATTTACCTTTGCCGTTTTTTGTATTGCCATGGTATATTGAGGTACTTACAATAAATTTTGCAGAATGTAATCGTTATTCGGAGATTTCGGCGATATCTTTCAAATCGACAATAATGTTATAATAAGTGATATAACATTATATAAATTAAGTACAAATCCGTACTCTACGATTACAGTAATAGTGACAAAGTACCTACTAATTCAAATTATGTTTCTAGGAGTGACTAATGATAAGTAACGAGAAAATAAACAATTCTAGTTTCCACTTGAAAGTCGATCTCTGTATGTGGTTACAGGCAGAACCGTAATTTAATCAAATGACTTATTTTTTATAATCTACAAAATGAGGTATTGAAATAGCGGTTTCTTATTTTTTTGCATTTTTCTTTAAACTTGCATTATCAACGGAATTCCATATTATAAGTGTGAATCATAAGACAAAACGTGTTTTGTGGAGACAGAGTAGATAACAAAATGTGCTAATTATGCCAGACGAAAAATACTCATATATCATTCCTTGTAAGTTCCTTTGTGTGAAAAAACAACGTCCTACTCGAGGTCCTAGTACTATAATAGGCGTGTGTGGTTTGTGAAACGCAAATGGATCGAGTTTCGTTGTCCTGCTGATAAAACATTATAAAAAAACGATTCCGGCAATATAAAAGGGGCGTGAGAGAAACTTCTGGCAGTTTACTTATCGAAAATCAAATCGAGCCTCGTTAAATGTTTTCAAGTAAAAACTCTCAGTTTTGACTGTAGTTTACCAAAAATATACAGTGCGTTTATCTTACATTGGAACATACAAATTTTATATTTTTTACCTGTCCTGTATACCTCCCTACTGTTTCAATTAAAGCCCTTCTAAGCGCTTACAAAAGGTTTATCGAATGAGCACGAACTTCTTTTAAGTATAGACTGCGCAAGTAACGAATCACACGAATTTCAATAACGGCCTTCATATTTAATTAAATAGGTAGGTACGATAGCAATAAAAATATCACGCCATGCAGTACTTACGATAGTATCTTCTAAATTGAGTTTCAAAAAACGATAAATTAATAAAAGCAACGTTGGTGCGACTCGCTTTGCTCGCTCGAGATGATAAACATTGGCAACTTTTAGGCCCAGTTTATTTTATTTCCAACGAACATTTGTACTTGGAACTCCTAATACCGGAGAATCTCCTAAGATTTTGAAAAATGTAGGACCTTGCTGGCTTGCTCGGTAACTAATCTATCGATTTAAAAAATAAAAACTGTTATTTGACCTCTCGTCCCGTTTAATAATTTGTGGGGTTGCAACTTCCAACTCACATGGATCTATAAGAATTATTTTTGCTTAAAAATTGTGCACCGTGATATAACATTTTTTTTGTTTTTGATTTTTGTGAAAACATTTACCTATTTTGTCGAGTTTTAGGGGGCTACAAATTTTTATTGATACACTTTCTATTTATAAAATTGAATTTGTTCTATAAACAGAGTGTGGTAACGATAGCACCTCTACGCACGATACATTGTACAAGCTACCAATGGACCACTGAACTTAAAAAATTTTGTTTTTTAGGTGTTGCAACAAGCCGGTAACGTGGAACGTTTGGGTAGATTTTTATGGTCGTTACCGGCTTGCGACAAACTTCACAATAACGAATCAGTTTTAAAAGCGAAAGCAATAGTCGCTTTTCACAGAGGAAATTTTAAGGAACTTTATAGAATTTTAGAAAGTCACAATTTTAGTCCCCACAATCATTCGAAGTTACAAGCGCTGTGGTTGAAAGCTCATTACATCGAGGCGGAAAGGCTTAGAGGTAAGGGAGATCGTTGATTGGAAGTTTGTGAGTAAAATATCGAATTTTCAGGACGGCCTCTCGGTGCCGTCGGCAAATACAGGGTACGCAGAAAATTTCCTTTGCCACGAACGATTTGGGACGGAGAAGAAACTAGTTATTGTTTTAAGGAGAAGTCAAGAAGCGTCCTAAGGGATTGGTATTCTCACAATCCTTATCCGAGTCCACGGGAAAAACGAGAGTTGGCCGAGGCTACCGGATTGACCACAACGCAAGTTTCGAATTGGTTTAAAAATCGTAGACAACGCGATAGGGCCGCCGAGCACAAGGAAACGTACGTAAACATTCTCTTTTTCAATATTAATTAATATCAAGAACACCCCAACGTTTGGAGCAACTTGATATTGGTGCACCTCGTGGCTGTATACGCGCCGGTTTTGGGTTACAAACCGAAGCCATACGCACGCACAACTCGAATCGGATCCCTCCTTGTTTTGTTAAATTGTCAACAGTGTAGGTTTTTTTTGATAATTATCATCTGCTACATACATCATTTGTAATTAAAAGTAAGTGTCGGAAATTAACGAAAAATAAGGACATCGTGCATAATTCCGCAATGCACACAATCAGAATGAGCTTGTGGTTGAAATGTGCGGTTGTAAAAGGGTTTCAAATATCATCTCGTGTGACACAGTCTCATATGCTATGTCGAGCGTCGCCTTTAGTACAATGGTTTAGCGTAGCTATACCTTCCTATCGCGACGGTTGGCGTCACTCTTCTAACTAACTAGTTTTTCCAATATTATGAAAGGAAATTTGTACGTCTTTGTTGCGTTGCACATTGAGCTGCAGCTAAAAATATAGAAAGACCACTCTTTCTTTTGTGATTGCGTCGATCCTGTGCTGCTCCAAATCGGAAAGTTTGGATATTTTTAGAATTTTATTACATTTATGGTTTGAAATGCGTTCAACACTGCACGTGCTAATTTTTCCATGTTGAAAGATTTGATTTAACCACACACGTGCCAACATTTTTACACGAATCAACAGTCGCAAATAATATACCTACAGTATTTCTACAAGACCACCCCTTCAATATAATTACCCACTTATGTTATCTTTTTCGCTGTTTGAACTTGACTTATCACAAAATTGTCTTCGTCGAGTTATTCTCAGTACAAATCCAACAAAAAGGACGAATCGGAGAAAGATTCAGAAGAAACATTTAAGCGTATCCGATTGAAGAGACTTTTAGATATACTTTGGTAATTTTTTATACCTATAACTCAATCTCATGGTCGCTCTTGCTCTGGTTCTGGTACATTTTCCCATCTAAATGAAACTAATGGTCAGTGTAAATTTAGCTTTACTGTATGTTATTTGGCAGGCTTATAACTAACAGATTAATTGCATTTAGCATTTTATGTATGCTGATTGTAATTAGGTCCAGACATTTGACCATAGGTACCTTGAACGCTCGATTAAATAACGCTTCCCGTAGGAAAGATGTGATCGGTAATGTTAATTTGAAATGTCTAACTTTGGTGATACATTCTCTCTCGCAATAAATAAGACACAAATCGTCGTAACGTAGTTTAAATAATTCTAAATTAATTAAAAATACGTAAGAGGAAAGAAGCTAAATATCGTATTCGACTGAAACCGACATCGGGTTACCACCGTAGAGCCACCCCTTACTCTGGTTCAAACAAGGGCGCTGCCGCTATCGGGTTTCACCAAAACAACTGTGTCTGTTCAAACACCACTTTGCTCCTCCGCTACTACCATCCCATTTACTTTCCGCATCTTCATTATTTTGTAAATACGTGGGAGGTTAACGATCGGCGTTTAGTTATTTTGTAGGAAAAAAAACCGTAAAACTCGGGAATTTGTGTGGAATTAAACGAGGGGATTCGAAAATGATTTCATTTCTATTTCTAGTTGGTGTCGAGTGATGCCTGGAAACTGAGAATAGCCCAGCTTATATGTTTTGCTATTTTAGACTTCCGCCACTCGACACCACACACTCGATACGCAGTTTTTGAAATAGAAACAATTTGCTTTCGTATTTTGTATACAATCTACATTTGGCCTCCGTTTATTTTCATCGCGCCCAACGAAACTTGATCTCTTTTAGATTTATGTCGTTTACTGGGAAAAACTCTGAACTGCAACTGCAGCAGCGTTATGGCAAGTGTCATCCATATGTTTACCGAATACCATCCGAAAGGCTGTTAATGTGCCAGTCGTTTGCCCTTTTCTTTTTGTCAACCACCGAAAACTATTAAATCACGTCACTTTCAAGGATCGCCCTACATAAATGAAACCCGATACTTCTACGGGGCTGTAAATAATTTTAGGAACAATTACTGACGACATACAGTTACTATACTACAAAATGATAGGAAGACCACCTATACCGGATTTAGTTTTAAACATGAAAACTGCCTAGAATTCTGAAAGTATCGTGTTTCACCTGCGGGCTTCGTAATTCGATATTAGTAAACTTCAAGTTCATCCGCAGCCACCCAGTGCACACCGCCGCGCCGCCGAGTTTATGTTACATACAACAACTACCCGTAATCAAATTACTTCGTGCGTAATGTTAAAAACTGGTAATTCTTTCAGGGGTCCTGGCGGCAATTCTGATAAGCAACACGTCGAATCAACAGGTTCTGAAAGTGAAGGCGAAGGACAAAAGCCACTAGCGTACTCGAATTCAACGGTACCGGGTGTCTCATCACAATTGGGTTACGTTTTACCCAACATGGGCCAACCTTTATATCCGGGACCTGGAAGCGTATTACACGATTACCAAACATTGTGACATTGGCTAGCAACCCCCTCCGATGTGTAATTTCGGGGGTTATTGTTGTGTACTTAATATTCTGTATATATATTATTTATTTTTGTTCGTTAAAATTGTGTAAACTATTTTTATAATTTGTGTGATTTTTTATGGAAGACTTCTCGCCCTTGATGGGATTTTTGTATAGCGGCACAAAATACAGGCACACAACCACATTTATTACTCTGATTATGGGAAGGAGCTTAATTAGAAAATGTATCTATTGTCGAAAGTTGCGCATTTATTAAGCCTTTGCAATATGTTAGTTATTGGTTTTATTAATGCACACATTTTCCAAAATTATATATCTGCCAATAAAATGTTTCCTAGATGTGTTTCATTCCATGATATATTTTTCTTTTCTTAAATAAACTTGATATCGTTGGTTGCATGCGCAGAATATTTTTAGTGTAGGTATGTTCTGAGATGTTATGAGAGAAAAAATTGTTTTAAACAATGGTGTTACTCTACATTAACTAGTACATAATTGTTTGTTTATTTCGTTGTTCCTGTCCGTTATTTATAAACAGACTGATAGAAAAGATAAAGAACATGTTATATTAAATTTTTGTTTAAATTCATTACAAAAAAGAAATGCATGTAAATATACAGGCAGGCTGTAATTGAATGTCATAAAAGGAATGGGTGGCAGAGAGCGAAATGAACATTTTTTCTAATTAAAATTTAGTAGGGGAAGGTTTTTGTACATGAAAATTGAAGCCAACAGAGAGTGATTAAAAACTGAAAGGGTTTGATCTCCCAATGTAGAAATAAAGAGTAAGTGAACTTAAGTTAAGACGTCCATTTTTGTTATGATATGTGATACGAACAGGGAATTTTTCTTCAATTTATACCTACATACGGGGTGAAGGCTGTACTTATAAAAAAAATATCAATGCTGTAGAAGACCATCAACACTACACGCAACAAGGTTGTTTTTCAATGCACAAACCGTTATCACTGGTACCATGTTAATACTTACACCTTTTCGTCATTGCTATACATATTTCTGTTAAAAAATCACAATTTGATGAATAGTAAAACCTAGGTAACCATAATTTGATAGTTTATTCTTCCATACAAACAGATTATCATTGAACAGAAATTCGTGTTGAGTTGGTTGCCTATATAGCCATGTTATTCCATGCATTGACAAGTGTTCTTTTTTAAATGGCCCATTCCCGAAAAATTCCCTGTACACAGGCCGATTCAAATTCATGGGCCACCATGGGGATCTCGGAAACTGTAAGAGATAGGTAGGTAGTTGAAATTTGGTAAAGTGGCGTATTTTGATGCTTAACAAAGTGCCGTTTCGAAAATGAAAAATTCCGACTACTTTCGGAGACTTTTTTATTAAAAATGTAATAGAATACTTGCAGGTGATGATGTATTCATAATTCATTTCCTGTATGAGAGTACGATAGTATGCATGCGAGATTGTATGTAAATATACAGGCTGTTTCACGCAAACCGTTACAAAGTTTTCAGGCTCTCATATACACCTACTGTGCAAATGCAACCTCAAAGACATGTAAATTACTCACTCACATACTTATATTCCAAAAATTATTAAAAGTTGAATCTCGCGAACGTACGACGTACTATTTAAAAATTTACTGTTTTCTGATTGGCTAACGGACACACGGAAGAGAGCTATGAACCCACCTTTACATGTATATATATCATTGTATATTTATTAATACATATACAATGCATATACAGGGTGACAATTTGAAAACTTACCACCCCTCATATCTTAGTAAATAAACGAGATATTTAAAAAAATCAAAATCCGTTTCGGTAATTCGGAGGGGGAATCACATTGAGATAGTTGGCGACGCACCCCCTCCAACCCCCTGCGCCCCAGCCACCCCAACTTTTAAATCTTAAATAGTGACCCCCCATGTGTGATACGTCGTTGGAAAGCTCTGAAAAAATGCTTTCCAACCATACCAAATAGCATTACATTTAGGTTAGTAATGATCGTGCAAATCAAAAAATAAACATGGAAAATCGTATTTAACTTGAACTTCCAAAGCCGACTTGACAGCAACTCATTTTTGATCGCCAGTTATAATCTATTCTAAAACTCTTGTCGAACCTTTTCAAATGTTGGTTTTGCAATATTTCGACATTCTTGAATTTATTCTCTGTCTTAGTTCGTCTATGTTCGCCGGTTGCGTTTTAAATACGACAGATTTCAAATGTATCATATTAGTTTATTTTTTGATTTGCACGATAATTACTAACCTAAATGTAATGCTATTTGGTATGGTTGGAAAGCATTTTTTCAGAGCTTTCCAACACATGGGGGTCACTATTTAAGATTTAAAAGTTGGGGTGGCTGGGGCGCAGGGGGTTGGAGGGGATGCGTCGCCAACTATCTCATTGTGATTCCCCCTCCGAATTACCGAAACGGATTTTGATTTTTTTAAATATCTCGTTTATTTACTAAGATATGGGGGGTGGTAAGTTTTCAAATTGTCACCCTGTATGTATGATTATACCATACTATAAAAATTAGCTCCGGCAACACCGAATGCGGAATCACATGGCGGCATGGCAACACTGTGTAGTGTGTTTAATGACTATCGATATAAAAACAAAGATTAATTAACATTTGCTGTACCTAAATAAGGTGTTTGAATAATGAGTTATTCCGACAAACAAGAAGTACCTACTAAAGAAGAATGGCTAAAGAAATTGGACATTAAAGATATTAGTCGGACCTGCATGAATAAATTAATCATGAACTACTTAGTGACAGGTTAGTTCTTTATTTGCGGGGTATTTGATGTAGTATCCTTCTCGTAGAAGGATTCAAAGAGGCAGCCGAAAAATTTCAGTTAGAATCTGGCGTAAATCCATCAATAGACCTAAACTCCCTTGATAATCGAATACAAATACGTGATGCGATAATGAATGGCCGCATACAAGAAGCTACAGCACTTATTAATCAATTACATCCAGAACTACTTGATAACGATCGTTACTTATATTTTCATCTGCAGGTTTGTGTAAGAGTAGTGTAGTAGAATGAGGTTAACACGTGCACTTTCAGCAATTACATCTCATCGAATTAATCCGCAATAACCAAGTAGAAGAAGCGTTAGCATTTGCTCAGTCGCACCTGAGTGAGGCAGGTGAAGACAACTCTTCTGTGTTAACAGAGCTGGAACGGACAATTGCTTTGCTAGCGTTTGAAGATCCATTACTTAGTCCCTTTCACGATTTGTTGCAACCTGCACACCGGCAAAAAGTTGCCAGCGAAGTTAATGCTGCGATTTTAAAAATGGAGCATCAAGAATCGACTTTACCGAAGTTATCAACATTGCTGAAACTTATATTGTGGGCACAGGAAAAGTTAGATCGTAAAAGCACAAAGTATCCTAAAATGACTAATTTGGCATCGGCGTCTATTGAAGATCACAAATAACATAAACTGAAGAATTGCAGTAAATGCTCTTATTTTTAGTTTACGACTTACACTCGTGGATTGGGTACTATTTATATAGAAAGGCTTTCGAATTTAGTTGATATAAAATGTTTAATGTTCGTGTAAATTAATTATATATATATATAAATCACCTTTAAATGTTTTACCATCCTAAGACATAATCCATAGCTTTGGTCAGAATTCCAGTTGATTTTTGAGGTACATTCTCGGGCGTTATTACCATGTTTGAATTTTGGGGAGATACAAAGGACAAACGAAGAGATCGTGCTCTTGTAGGTGTTTTTGGCATAGGACTTTCCCCGCTTTCACGAACCGTATTGTTTTGATAAGGAACTACTCCAATCATAATCGAATTCGATATCAGTTTACCATTTAAGGAAAGAGCTTTGGAGACTTCCAGTGTGTTGCTGAATTTCAAGTGCATCCAGTTACCTTGTGCCGGAAAACGTTTGTCCGTGATCATACCGCAACTGGCAAACTGTGTAAATATACTACCAGACGCAGTCGTGGGAAATCCGAAGACGGTCACCCATAAATTACTGCACGCTGTTGCTTGACGCATTAAATCGGCACGCTCTACGGACGTTTCGTTAAAACTATGCGAGAAACTGTCATGTTGAAAAGAGTTTTGGGTATGTGTAATTGACTTAGGGGTGTTCGTATTAATAGACCGTCTTACGTCCAGCGTGTCAAAGAGACTTTGTTTTGGAGGGCCGGGCGTGGTGTTTGATTCAACAGAAAGTGGTAAATGCTTTGGCACATCCGGTACACTCGGACTGAATAATTTCTGCCTCATTGAGCTTCTATCCGAAGGTGTTAAGTTAAAAGATATATTTTTCCGTAGTTCTGGAGAATTGGGAGATGCTGGTTTTGCATTTCCCATCAGAAAGGCAGGTAGATAATTTGGATTAGCGCTTGGAGAAGAAGGGCTTCCAGGGGCACTACCCAATGTCATTGGTTCCATGCCTAAAAAACAAAGTGAGACTAGTTCAAATTTTAAGAAAAACGGCGATTACTCACTGCTTTACTAATTTGTTTTAACGTTGCCGAGATGGAATAAACGAGTATTTACTGCTATAGGAACAAGAACAAGTAATGCCAAATATTTGGTTTGTCTATGCACAGGAGTATATAAGTAAATAGAGAGACAGTCTTGTAGCGAAAAATTGACTCCAATTGAACCTTGCGCAGGCCGTTGGTGAGTGTGCGCAGTAGTCGACAACAGAACCGGCTTCAAATTAAATGATCCTTAAAGCAGGTTCGGCTTGAGAATAATATGGTTTCTCATTGCAACAAAAATTGAAAAGAAATTCAATGTGTGGTGAATGATGTTGTTCACACTGTGTCTTGAATAAATAAGAAACATTACAATCGTTAAGAACTTTTAATACAGTAGACTACAATCCAAAGCTGGTAAGGGGCTTACAACATCAGAATCGAGAAAAGATTTTTTGAGATTCTAGTATAAAGGAATTCGTATATTTTTCGTGCGATCGAGTTTAAAGATCTATTTATGCACTCAGTGAGTATAAAAATAAGCAATGAAAGAATAAAATAAGTTGAAATTTTATTTTGGTGCGGGACAAAATTTTAGTGTGCAATGCCGAAAACACAGTTTGAATACGGGTAGCCACAAAGTCGACAAACTTCAAATGCCAATAACTCAAATATCTCAAAAATGGAGCATCGGCAGAGGATATGTAGGTACAGTGGCACCACGCTTAGAAGGTTCCTGACAGGGGTGTTCCGAGGACGTTGGAAATTTAGACTGTACTTACATTCTCATGCAAAATTTGACTCTACTAAATATAAATAAGTGGGCACGCGATATGAGTTGCATTACTTCAAGGGGAAACAGTAAAATTAATAATTTTATTTCTACAAAACGTAAACACATTTAAAATTGTTAGATGTTCATGTTCAACACAATTTACAATTCTGATGCACTTCTGCTGTGTAAATATGGACAGTTATTGAAACAATCACATTGAAATTAATAACACTCACACTGACTAAATTAACACACAACCTTTAACTTTTTTCATTCATTATCGTCACTTGACCACTAATCATCATCGGAACTGCTGGTGTTCACAATAAATTGTACATTGTCAATAAATTCATTTCTCGTAGGAATGCTTCTAACCAAGAACGTATCACTTCCTTACGATTATTCATTGTTGGTGGCTTATTTATTTGAACACTGATAAGGTGCGTGAGTTTGCTGGTAAATTTGGTATAAGCTGCTTCTCTAACCACTGCATGAAGTTGGTAGGATTCATATCGTCGTGATAATCCCCCGATTTACTGTGCGACATCCTCTACAAAACCAGAACGACTACCAGCATACTACGATGTACCTCTGACCAGCCCTATTATAAACTTCCGATACTTCATCTGATTGTTAGCATTTACTTACTCCGTACGATGGGTGAATATAGGTTTCGTCCAAGTATATAACGGGTTTCTTGTCACATTCAGGTTGTTCATTTTCTTTTAATCTTCTTAAATAACGAGATGCCATTACCAACCTACGTTTGTCCCGACACTTCTTGTATCGAAAACCAAGTTTCAGCAATTGCTTGCAAAGAGTTTTCCTTCCACCCATATATTTGATCTTTTCTTGCACTTTTCTAGGAGCATTTTAAAATAACCTTTATTTATGTACAGATCGTCGCCTAAAATAAGCTTTATTTATGTACAGATCGTCGCCTACTAAACATTGAAATGGCGGTAAAGAGTATAATGTAATGGGCATGCTTAAATTATTGCTCCAAAGTGTTTGTTTATTTACAAATGAATCTGAAGCATCTGAAAAGTTATTGCTGTTTTGTTTTGTGATTATGTAACTGAATGCACCCAAAAATCGTGCTGATT